CCCCTTAAATCCACACGGAACCCATTTCTCTCACTAATGTCTGGACTTAAGTTCCTCCGCTCTGCTCCGGAAATAATATAATATATTAAAGCAACCTTCTCTATAAAACAATAATGACGTAAATTTTATGTATTTATTCAGTTTGAAAAAAAAATTACTTGATTATTATGTAAACTTTATGAAAGTTACCTATTGAAATTTTTATCAGTATAAAAAGGACTAATTTCAAAAATCAACGTAAAGCAAATTGATATAAAAAATTTTCTTTTTTAAATCATGGCTTTCTATGATCCTTTCGAAAGATTTTTGGATCCTTTTTATGATCCAACCTTTGATTTGAGTCTTCCTTATGTTTTTGTGAATGATTTGACTACACCTTCCGATCGACCTGAAAGATCGTGGAATCGTGATAGATGGGGAAACCGTGATAGATGGAATAGAACAGGCTGGGGTGATCGAGAAGGAGAAGCACGACGTCGTGTGCCTATTCAAGATCGCATACCGCGTCACGTTGAATCACGTGTTATGACTGAACGAGAAGGAGACGTTGTTTGGAGGTTCTCGATTCAATTTTTTTTTTAATACCATTTGAAATTTTTTCATACTCTAAAAAATTTCTTTTGTATTTGTAGACCCGCCACTGACGTTTTTGAGACATCTGATTACTTTATTGTCCATATTGACTTACCCGTAAGTTTCAAGACCGTAAAGTAATTATCTTAATCTTTAAATTTCTTTAACTTAATTATTATAATAGGGAGTCCCTAAAGAAGTTATTTCGATCGAACTTCGTGATCGTGAACTAATTGTTCAGGGTGATTCCAAAGGCTTTAATTATGAATGTGCAACATCGCGTGTTCGTGAACGTAACATTGGGCGCTTCCGAAAACACGTCTATTTACCTCGTGACATTTCCATTGCTAAAGAAGATATCGACGCAAATTATCAGGATGGATTGCTTGAATTAAAGGTCTGTATTTATAAAAACTATAAGGTTTATAAAAATTTGAAAATTTTAGATTTTTAACGTTACTTTTGTGAAAGATTCCACGTGGAAAAACTGAAGCAATGGGTCGAATTACGATCAAGTAATTACATAAATCTAGTTTATGTGTTGTGTTTTTTTTTTTTTTAAAGCCATATATTCTTTATGGGTTTGCTTAATGATGAACTGTTTCATTTGCGTTTGAGTGAATAATAAATTAGCAGAACAGTCGTAAAATATAAACATATTTTGTTTATAAATATAATATATTATGCTTAAAATTAAAGTACGCACATGTAAAAAAAATATAAAGCATTGTAGTGAACGTCTTCATAAAAAACAAATAATAATAAAAATATTCTTTATAATATGGGGGTGAGTCAATAAATACGTACCATATCTTTTTTAGTGAAAATTTTTTAATATTCATTAAAGTTTTTAGTTTATCAAGTTTTGGTTGTTATTTTTGTTTAAAATTTTAAAAAATTTTACATAGAAAAATATGGTAGATTCACTGATTCACCCCCATATTCTATTATGTCAAATATTTCAATTTTATATTACTTCTATGTTCTCTAGAATAAATGTTGGTGTTCTACACTTGCAGAACCTATTTTAAGGAATGTAGAAAATAAAGTTAAAATATCTATTCTTTGCTCTAGACAAAAAACTTGATATGTATGTGTATTATAACTTACTTGTTTATGCTAGTTATCTTCTTCAATTAATGATAAATCTTTTGTGTGTCATCAATATTATATAAAAAGTTTAGTGAAGCAGCCAGTATTTTTCTTATAAAATTTAAATACATGTAGTTAGTGAAAAAATTTGGTGTTTTACAATAAACAATTTTATTTATTATTTTTGAATTTAAATACGAAAAATTTTGCCTTTATTCAATAAGGTAAATTGTGCTTATAATAAATTCTACGCGGTTTTTCATTATTATAATATTCTGGATGTAAAAAAAGCTAAGATATTACGTTAATAACTACTATGGTAATTATTTGGGGCTGGTTCTTTTGAAGTTCAGATCCAGCCCATCAAAATATACCAAATTTTCATATCCAAATCCGGCCCATATTTTGTTGGTTAGATCCATGTCCAGCCCGTGTATTCAAATGAAAAGGAAATTAATAGTTTATTATTTTTGGCCAGTCAGCTTAAATATGGATTAGGAATATATCCATTCTCTTATGGATCCGAATTTTTGAGACCAGATCTAATTCAAAAATCCAAAAGCTTGGCCATGTTGGACAAGTCCATAAATGCTCCATGGATAGGTGGAACTCTAGTAATTATAAAAATAATAATTCAAAAATTATTAAATCATGAAAAGTTGTAGTCTCATATCAGAGCAGAAAGGCTTTTATTTTTATATATACAGTATATTCATAATATATAAAGATGGAAATTTTTTTTCCTTCCACCCGTTATCATAAGTTACAAATTTAGATAAATCTTACAATAATTTCGCATAAGGGAATTAAAAATATTGATTTTGATTAATAAACTATATTAAAAATATATTCATTTAGCTAATCAAAAAGAAAAATAAATGAGAGTGATATATAAGATATTGATGCTGAAAAATTTTAAGTGCTGTTATCGTTTTAATTTAATGTCAATAATTATTTTATGAAAATGGACAGCTTTAGCATCATTATTTACAAAATAATACAACTTCTACCTCCTCTAACCGTAAAATTCATCCTTCCAACTCTATTATTGTCTCTGTTAGTACTTCTAATACTGGAACGAATTGCTGCACCTAAATGACTTCTCAATGAAACACCATTTGTACTAGTGAATCGTCTGATGAACCTATTATTTCTAACCCAACTAGATCCACCATTTCTTCCCCTATTATCATCATCATCGGAATCTGTATTACTATTAGCCTGCCACGAATAATATCCTTTAAGCTTTAGTAATACACCATAATCTGTAGCTTTTTTTACAGTTTCCCTAACCGCTGAAATAGAAATATTACGACAATCATATATTTCTACTTCCATGTAATCAACCCTACCTTCATTCAATAATAAAGAAAGATTATGTAAAACTGCGTCGGTTAGCAATTGACAATGATCAAGATCAATATGAGATATTTTTGTGCATTGTTGTAAAAGAGTGTTTACACCATCATCTGTAATAAGCTCACAATAACTTAAACAAATCTTTTTAAGATCTGAAAGGTAAGCGGCGAATGATCGAAGAACTTCATCGTTAATACATGGACAATCTTCTAAATCAATCACTTCAAGTTTTGTACACTTTGATGAGATGTATATGAATCCATTATCCGTGAAATTTGTACATTCATTAACTTGTAAATGTGTAAGATCCGGACAAGAATTTCCTAATTCTTTTAAAGTATCATCAGTTAAAAGTTGATTGTTGGATAAATCTATATGTGTTAAAGAAGATGGCAATGATTGATTATTGAAGAAAGTTGAAATATGCTCATCATTTAACGTCGGACATAATTTCATTGATAAATCTTTCAAATTTGGTAATGATGCTATGTTTATCATCATTTGTTCAGAAACTTTTGAAAGACCATTAATTTTTAAACAAATCAATTCTTGACATCCTTTTACCAAATTTTCTATTCCTCTCGAACTTATATTTTGACACCAATTAAGATTAACTTGTTTCAACTTTTTACATTTTTTGGAAAGTGTATTGCATGTCAGATTAATGACGACAATCAATCCAGATAAATCCAAGACTTCGAGATTATTTAGATGTGAAAGTAGGGTGTTAATGGAATCTTTATCAAGGTTGCGACAACCGGAAAGTTGAAGAGTTTGGATATTTGGACAATACGGAGCCAATTCTTTTAGATGAGGTGAGGAAAGTTGGACACACCCTCTAAAGCGAAAAATATTATTAAGGGATATATATTATTATCCTTGATTATGTAAATCAAAATTGTGAAAATTTATCTACTTTTATCCAGAAATAATATTATCAATTACTTTATCCAAAATGATATTATCAATTTCAAATTTTTATTTTATTTTTTTTTTATTTTATTTTTTTTATTTTATAATCTTATTTCTAAAGCATAAAATTTATAAATTTAAATTTAAATAAAAAATAATATCATACCGAAAATTTGCAACTTTTAGAAAACCTCCAGCAGCTTTACTCAGTCGAAGTATTTGATCTGCAGATATCGTTCGATAAAATGATACCAAATTTAATTCCGACCATAATGAGCCATCATAAGCAAGTTCATGCCAACCATGGCAAACCTTTAAATAAAAAATTTAAAATAAAAATTAATTAAATTATTCAGCATTCATGATAAACCTTTTTTTTTTTTATTACTTACTAAAGATATCCTAACAATTTCATCGATTTCCAAACATTTGAAAATTTTAACTTTAATTTCCAAAGGGATCTTATCAAAATGACAGATTTTATCTTTTTTCAGAGGGTGGTCTATGACATTGTCATTATCGCAAAGGAATGAATCATATTCGTCGTTTCCCTTCTCTTTTCCTTTAACATCTTCAAACAATACAACTGCTGAATCCATTTTTTTAGGAATTACTGAAGAGGAACGACGACTACAATTTTTTGATTGACGCATATCTGATAGAAAAATAAATTTTTAAATTATGATTGACAAAAAAAAAAAATGACGCTGACTCTAGGAATGACACTGACTCTAGGAATGACACATTAAATAACATGAAGATCAGTTGATCGCTATTCAAATATAATATGGTATCATGCAAGAGTCATACGGCCTTTGTTTAATAATTAATCCTTTTATAGTTTAAGATCTGATTTTCGCCACAAATATACGCATATACGTTATTCGATCATTTGCCACTTACGTATTAAGACGGTAACAATGTGTTGATCATAACATGTATATCAAATTTCATTTACTTAAGACTATTTAATTATTTAAAACTATCGCTATTATCGTAAAGTCGGGATTAGCATAATATAAGAAAAACAATGAACGTCTGAACTTGCCTTGGAAAACTTTTGAGTTGCAAAAAAAAGAAACTATTATAGTTATAATTTTTTAATTAAAACCCTTATAAAAATCAAAATACTGTACGTACAATCATTAATACTCTAAATAAACAATAGTTATAATGTACATATATATCTACGTATATAGTATATTAATATAATGCTGTAATTATTATTACAATTTCAATGATTCATAGTATGTAAGGAAAATTTTAAATAATGCATCGGTGCATTTTGTGCACCTTATTTTAATATCATGTTAGAGTTAGGCTGGGATTAATTTGTATTGATTACTTAAAATTTCACAAGGAACAGTGCACAAAAACCCCTATTGCTATTTTCAGACAAATCGGACGTAATTTTTTATTCGGGGATTTTTATAATTTTAAAATTATAAAAAACTTTAGCAATGTAATTGGATTTTGATGATTTTAGGCTTGTTAGATTCGTCTCATTGAGACGAACATTTTGGTAGTTAAATCATCCAAAATGGACCAGTAAATCAAGAGCTATTAAACTTTAAAATTCTATATATATTATTATATATATGTTATATATATATATGATCAATTGAACAAAGATATCTCGGCAACCACCTGATCAAATTCGATAGACTTTATTTTTATTTTGATTATATGAGTTTAGTTGATTAGGATAAAAATATTTTCATCGAATTTGGTCAGGTGGTAGTCGAGATTTCTTTGCTCAAAGTTATTAAAAAAAAAAACCAAAACGCCTATCAAAATAATTCTTTAAAACTTCGAGCAAAGTTATCTCGACAACCACCTGACCAAATTCGATGAAATTTTTTTATTCAAATGTTCTAAACTCATATAATCAAAATAAAAAAAAATTCATCGAATTTGATCAGGTGGTTGTCGAGATAACTTCGCTCAAAGTTTCAAAAAATCCAAAACGTCTATCAAAACTTTGGGCGAAAATATCTCGAAAACCACTTAATAAAATTTGATGTTTTTTTTTTTTTTTTTGGATTCTTTTTTGTTTTTTTTAAATTAAAAAAAAAAAAAAATTGTGTAATGTCTCTAGGTAGATGTCGTGATATTCTCGCTCAAAGATTTTAAAAAACTCAAAAATAAAGCTGCATTAAATTTTTTAAAACTTTGAGCGAAAATATCTCGACAACTATCTGATCAAATTCGATGAAAAGTTTTTTATTTGAATTCTATGAGAATAAAGGATTCAAATAAAAAAATAATCATCGAGTTTGGTTAGGTAGTTGTCAAAATATTTCTGCTCAAAGTTTTAAAAAAATTTGGCGTAGCTTTTTATTTTGATAACGGTTTGAATTTTTTGAACTTTGAGCGAAGTTATCAAATTCGATGAGTTTTTTTTTTATTTTGATTATGAGTTTAGACTATTCGAATAAAAAACTTTCATCAGATTTGGTCTAGTAGGGTGTCAAGATATCTTTGCTCAAAGGTTTAAAGAATTATTTTGATAGGCATTTTGTAACTTTGAGCAAACAACTAGAGTTTGGAACCGGTTTTATTTTCATATGCTAAAACCGATTAAAACTGGTTTTAACATATAAAAAATAAAACTGGTTCCAAACTCTACAAACAACCACCTGACCAAATTCGATGAAGTTTTTTTTATTTAAATCGTATAAACAAATTAAAAAAAAATTTACCAAATTTGGTCAGGCAGTTGCTAAGATATCTTGTTCAAAGAATATGCTTTTCAAGAGAAATATGGTTATTAAATGTAAGGGGTATAAAAATTGGTTCCTATATCAGTCAGAGAATATGTTATGCTGATTGATTTTACATAGTAACATTACAGAAAAATTTTATACTTACTTTTTAGTTTATGCAAAAAATAACCACAAAACCTTCTAAATACCTGACCTTTATGTATTAGTAAAACTCAATCTGCAAGTTTCATTATAGATGTTTTATAGAATAGGTGGGCAATATAAAAATTAACTCTGCTAACAATTAGTAATCATTAATAAATATTTAGTGGAGTTGTGGAGTTTGTGAAGTTTGCCCACCTATTTTATAGAACATCCTAAATTTTAGCTTTGTTTTTCACATCCTTTTCATAAACTTAACTTATATTGAATTTTTTTATTTACAAGCTAGTATAAACAATAAGTAATATAAGTTTTATTATTAATAAAATTTTGAATTATAGTAAACTGAAAAATTTTTTTATAAAAATATATACCATAGTGCACTGCCCAAAAGACCCCCCTTTTATAATACCCCCTATGTAAAAGACCCGGGTATAATATATAGTGCAAAATTATATAACTCTGGTAAAAATTAGAAATTTTGGCCCAGTAAAAAACAAGATACCCCTAGGTATTTTGTAAGTTTTTTGCCAGGGTTTTTTGTATAAGACCCTGGGTCTTTTGGGCAGTGCACTACGGTATATATCACAGGTTGAATCAATGAATAACAGGTATATATCGAGAGACAAATCTTCCGATATGTACCCATTATTCTACTATAGATTCACCAAATAACTGTAGCATATCAGTAGCATAATGGTAGCATTAGATTAGATATTGGGAGGTAGATAGATAACGGTAACATAACAGTAACATACTAGGACATCCCGGCATTTTACTCTTAGCACTATTTGGACTAAGAGTAATATACCGAGATGTCACAGTATGTTATTGTTATCAATCTACCTCCTGATATCTAACCTATATGCTACCATTATACTACTGGTATACTACAGTTATTTGGCAGATCTATGGTAGAATAACAGGTATATATCGGGAGATTTGTCTCCCGATATGTACCTGTTATTCATTAATTTAACCTGTATATAATTTATAGGTTTTGCAAATTAAAATATTTATATAACTTTATTAATTGTTAAGATTTGTTTTTGATTTAAATTATTCAAATTAAAGTAGTTTTATTAAGCTTCAAGTTTTTAAATTTGGGAAGTTTGCTTTTACAATTCAGATCATTTACAATAAGTTTAGTTAGATATTTAAGTATATAATAAAGTTAATGCACTTATATTACAACTTAACCTAGTACTTAGAAATTATTTTTATAGTTATCTACTTTTGTTCTTGTATAGTTTGCTGTTATTAAACCCAAGTACCTACTTATATTTACTTTTCTTAAATCTATTTTCAGTTTTTTTCAAACTACCAATCTAGTTGGTTTAGCAGAGTTGGTCTGCTCAGGCTTTAAATACTTTATGAACTTTTTTTCTTGATATATACTTCTAAAGTATATATTCTTTTTTTTCAGTGCAACTTTGGCAGCCAAATTGGTAAATCCCACTTCTAGGATTTTATAATATCTAATTTCTTCAAAGTATTAATTCTTAGTCTGGTTTGGTTCTGTAGCACTCTTGTAATCCTTACTACTTCCAACTTTGGTTTTGCCAAGTCAGTTCTAAATCTTCAAGTTCTCTTTTTGGTTTTATATATTTTTAGTTTTTCTTATACAATTCAAGTATTATACAAATACTCTAGAATTTATTAGTATACTAGTAATACTAATATGACCAGAGTTATAGGTTTTAAAACCAGATTTATCAATGAAGATTTATTATTATAATACAAGTAGTTTTGTTTAAATTGTCACCAGTAGAATTCAAACTTAATATTTTAATTACAAGTTAGCTTGTGCAAATTAACTCTAATTATAGCTCTAGATTGAATTTTATAAAATTTTCTACAAAATTTAATTATTAACAATTATTAATTTAGCTAATAACTTATAATACATTATTTTAGCTTTAAAAAAAGTGAATAAATATATTTTATAAGAACTCAATACTAATTTCTTCATACCTTAATATTTTAATAGTAATAAACTTGGATAAAAGTAGATCTTCTTTAGTATAGCTAAGCAATATAAAAATATTATAAAATTATAATATAAAAAAACTCTAACCCTAACCCTAGAGCTAACTATAAACTTTACTATAACCCTTA